AAACTATATAAATAATATGCGAACTCAATTGAAATTGATTGGCAAAATTAGCCAATCAGACAAACTTCTGCCTATGATATTATATCACCATTGAATGATCGACATCCAGTTTATTAATCAAAAATTGTTGATCTAAAATAATTTCAAATTTTTTATTTCAAAAATAAACAAAAAAAATGAAACAAAGATTCTCTGCACTTGACATAAGAGCTACTGTATACAATTTAAAAGAAAGGTTTTTAATCTATTTGGTTTTTAATCTATATACTGTTTACATTAAAACTAAAAATTATATATATATATATATATTTTAATTAGAATTGTTGGATTAAGGTTGCAAAATATATATGACATCAATTCAAAAACATACCTGCTCAAATTTTCAAAGGTAATTTGTCATATGTTACAAAAATTAAAATTAAAATAATTATATTAAAACACTTGCTCTTCATTAAAAAAAGCCGGATCGAAAAGAATTACTATTGATTGAGTCCGGTATTCGAATTCACACAACACAATTTTCTCGTGACAAATCAAATGCTCCTTCGATGTTTTGTCTGAGGATTCGAAAATATTTGAAATCACGTAGATTAACAGATGTGAGACAATTGGGTGTTGACAGAATAATTGATTTTGAATTTGGTGCTGTTGGAGATGGTATCACATATCATATAATTGCAGAATTTTATGCTTCAGGAAATATCATTGTTACGGATAATGAGTACAGGATTTTAGCTTTACTTCGTATTGTCCAACCTAAAGAGAATGAGAGGATGGTAGTTGGTCAAATATATAATGTAAATGCGACGGCTCGTATGCAGGACCCTGTTTCAATAAAACGATTACAAGAAATATTTGATACTACAGAATCAAAAGAAACCAAAGAACAATTAAAAAAATTTTTGAATGCAAAATTAAATTATGGTCAAGCATTAACTGAACATGCTCTTCGCGTTTCAAAATTAGATCCTAATATGAAGGTTGGCACTATTATTGATAAATCATCATCATCACCATCGGAGGCTTCTCCTTATTTGACTGCATTGGAAGCTGGTTTTGCTGAAGCAGACAAAATTATTGAAGATTGTGCAAATAAAACACAAAAGGGGTATATTATTTTGCTTCAACATGTGGAAACCTTTAAAAATCCAAAAGATAATGATGATGATGGTGAAAAAACACAACAAGAAGATTTGGTAACATACAACGAATTTCATCCATTTTTGTTTGAACAGCATAAAACAAAAATATACAAAGAATTTGATTCTTTTGATTTAGCGGTAGACGAGTATTACTCTTCATTAGAGAGTCAAAAACTTATTTTGAAGCAAAGGAATCAAGAACACGCAGCAAAAGAAAAATTGGATGCAATTAAAAAAGAACAATATTCCCGTGTTGAAAGTCTTCAGAATGCTCAAATAAGTAATATCAAAAAGGCTAAATTAATTGAATCTAATATTGAATTGGTGGATCAAGCTATTTTAATTATTAGGAATGCAATTGCCAGCTCATTTGATTGGAAAGATTTGGAAAATTTAGTAGCCGAAGAGAAAAAACGTGATAACCCTATTGCTAATGTGATTGCTGGCTTCAAATTGGAGGTTAATATGATTACTTTATTATTAAGGTATATTGCTTTCCTTTTTTCTTTCTTTTATTTATATTTTTATATATGTGTATATATATTTAATTCCTTTTTTCCTTTGTAGTGAAAATACGCAATTAAATGATGATACATTTTATGATTCTTCGGATGATGATTTTGAAAAGGAAGATTCATCTGTAAATAAAATACATGAAAAAGTAGATGTTGATATATATTTGTCAGCATTCGCTAATGCTAGAAAATATTATGATGTGAAGAAACAATCAGCAATCAAACAAGAAAAAACATTAGCTGTCGCTGATAAAGTACACCTTTTTCTCTTCTTTTTTAAAAATAATTAAATGTAAAATAATTTTCTAATAAAATTACGATCATTATTATTATTATTATTATTATTATTTAGGCCTTCAAAAGTGCTGAACAAAAAATTAGACAAGATTTAAAAGAATCAAAAATAACAATATCTATAAATAAAATAAGAAAACCATTTTGGTTTGAAAAGTTTCTTTGGTTTATTTCATCCGAGAATTATCTTGTTATCGCTGGACATGATGCTCAACAAAATGAAATATTGGTTAGAAGACACTTAAAAAAAGGCGACGTATACGTTCATGCTGACTTACACGGTGCAGCTTCAGTAATTGTGAAAAATAATAAAGAAGGTCAACAGATTCCGCCTAGTACATTATATCAAGCTGGTGTTATGTCTGTATGCCAAAGTAAAGCTTGGGATGCAAAGATTGTTATTAGTGCATATTGGGTGGATGCTGATCAGGTAATAAAAATTTTTTTTTGTAATTACTTTATATAACATAATTTAAGTATTAATAAGAATATTATTGTTTTATCAGGTATCTAAAACTGCACCTACGGGTGAATATTTGACAACTGGTTCATTTATGATTCGTGGCAAAAAGAACTTTTTACCACCTGTACAATTAATATATGGATTTGGATTGTTGTTTCGATTGGATGAACAAAGCATTCCAAGTCACTTAAATGAACGTCGACCACTGTTTGTTGAAGATAATTTTCTTCAAAGTAATAATAAAGAAAAAAACGATGATGACGAAGAAGCAGAGGAAGAAGAGGAAGGAAAAAATAGTGATGAGAACAATGAGGATTATAATAAACAAAGAGACTTTGAAAATGATTTTTCAGAAGATGAATATGATGATGATGAAAATGAACAAGATAAAAAATCTTTAAATTCCGAATCAACCATTAAAAGTAATTTTAGTAGTAAAAATCAAGAAACAGATATAAACGGTATAACATGGGATAAATATAATTTAGATGAATATGGTGTTGATCAAGATGATATTATTGATTTTAATTATAATAATAGTCCTCAAAAAAAGCAAGAAAATGAAGAAAAAACTGTAATTACTGATTTTCTTAAATGTTTTATTTTTTATTAAAATTTTTATTGATTATTAATTTACTCTTATTTATAAGAAAAAACATGTATCAGCCAAAGAAAGAAAACTATTGAAAAAACAAAAGCAAGGGACCAATTTAGAAAACTCGGATAATTCCATTGTAGTGGAAAATTTCAATATAGCAAACGAATCTAAAGGAAAAACTCAAAAAAACCAAACAACAGTAAGCTTTATTTATATCCATGTGTGTTCAAATTTCTTGATTGATTTAAATCAGCCATCATTATGGTAATTTTTCTTTTTTTGATGTTTATAATAGCAGAATAAATCATCGGTACAATTACCACGTGGTAAAAAAGGCAAACTAAAAAAATTAAAGGAAAAATATGCAGATCAAGATGAAGAAGAAAGATTATTACGTATGGAGTTACTTGGTGTAAGTTATAAGATCTATTATGTTTTTTTAAAATATATATGTATAAATAAATATTTATTATAATTTATATTATTTATAGTCTAATAAAGCGCCTCAGATAAAAGGTAAAAAGGGCAAAAAAGAGGCCTTAAAACAAGCAACATATAAACCAATTAAGAATCCTAATAAAACAACAACAACAACTAACGCAAACAATATAGACAAGAATAATATTAAACAACAAGAAGAAAAAGAAGATATCAAAGTATCACATACACAGGAAATTGAAAATAAAGAACAAATTGCCGAAAATGGAAATCTTGTAGGAAATAAAGATGACGGGGAGGATGATGCAGATGAAATAAAAAATCGAGAAAGCACTGTTGTGTTAGAAAATGAAATAATAGTAATTATATTTTATCATTACTATTATTTTTATTTTTATTTTTATAGCTTTGATTTTAACTTTTTGATTAATTATCCTTTTAAAAAAAAGGAAAATTTAGATAAATTAACAGGATCACCTTTACCCGATGATATATTACTTTTTGCCATTCCTGTTTGCGCACCATATATTGCATTACAAAAATATAAATATAAAGTAAAGTTAAAGCCTGGGTCTATGAAAACCGGAAAAGGTAAAAAGACAAATAACTTGAGATTTTAATTTATCTAGTAAAATTCTTAATAATTATTATAATTATAATTTTTTTTTTAGCTTGCAAAACAGCTATAAACTTTTTTCAAAATGATTCAAACATAACACCACATGAAAAAGAGTTAATAAAATGTATACCAGACACAGAAATGCTTTCTGTCATGTTGGGTAAATGCACAGTCTCTGCACCAAATATTGAGCAATCCAAAAAAGCCTTCAAAAAAGCAAAAAAACAAAAACAACAGCAAAAAAATGAATAATTTACAATTTATAATTTATGTATAATTCTAATTTATTATAATTGTATATTTAAAAAAGTTATTATTTAAATAAATGATAATTTGTTGTATTATTTTACAATAATACAGGTGGTCGGTCATCAATCATGATTTTTTTCAAAAGAATTGTTATACAAATAAATTTATTCTCAACCCAAAAATTGAAAATAAGATCTGCATCTCGAAATTTTACTAAATGCGTATGACAAAAATTATTCCAAGTGAAGAGTTGTATATAGTGGTGATATTAACTCAAAAGACTGACTTATAGGATCACATAGGATAATGTGGGTTACTTCTATTACTCTCTTCAAAATAGGTACTTATCAAAGAATCTATAGTCAAGCTAAGCATTATCAGCAATGGAAATAAATATACAATCAAGATAAATTATTATGAAAATAACATATTATAATTATTGCTATATTGGCATTGTTATTATAAATTTTTTGCTATAAAAGATTAAAATACTCCAAACAAAAGAGAAAAAAACCAATTCTAAAAAAAAACATTTGGATGAAAATACTAATATTAATACCTAATCCAACCAAACCATAAAGACTAATCATTATTACATATTTATTAAAAGAAAAAACAAATAATTATTAAAACGATGAATTTAAGCCAATAATAATTAATATCCTAACCATTAGAACCCTAGTTAATAACGATTATACTAGACTCCAAAAAGCCAATTGACTAATACCTTCTTTTGCTTCCTTTTTGGTAGGATGGAATAATCCTTTAAAATGACGATCATTAATTGACAATATTGCACAAAAACCATCTCCATCTACTTTTTTATGATAAACATATTGAGGTATTGGCCAGGATTTCTTAGCTGCCAACTCATATATCAATGAAGTAAATGTCTTGTTTGAATGTAATGATAAATTCCCCATTGGATTCTTCGTTGGGTCCTTCTTCATTGGGTTCTCAATTGGATTATTCTTTGGATTGTTCTTGAATTTCTTCTTTTGATTCTTCTTGCGATTCTTAATTGGATTCTCCTTTCGATTCTCCATTAGATCCTTCATTTGATTCTTTGGATTTTTCTTTTGATCCTTCTTTTGTAATGATGGATTGGTTGTAGTTGGTGCAGATCCAGGATTATGTAGAAATGCTGAGTGAGGAAATGGTACAAACGAACCCCCTCCTGAAGGAAATGGTGCAGATAATACTGGTGAAGGATATTGTGCAAATGGTACTACTGGTGAAGGATATTGTGCAGATGGCACCGCTGGTGAAGGATATTGTGCAGATGGTACTGCTGGTGAAGAATATTGTACAGATGGTATTGCTGGTGAAGAATATTGTACAGATGGTACTGCTGGTGAAGAATATTGTGCAGATGGCACTGCTGGTGAAGAATATTGTACAGATGGCACTGCTGGTAAAGGATATTGTGCAGATGGCACTGCTGGTAAAGGACATTGCACAGCCTGTTTTGGTCCTGATGTTTTATTCATCAAATCATTGATTTCTGCTTGTTCTTCGATTGGTAAACCGATATTGTTGATAACATTTTTATAACATTTTAATGGTGGAACTGTTTTAATATCTTCTTTTAACATCACTATCCCAATCGATTTCTTATAATCAAAATCCTTCTGAATAATTATTTTCATTTCAATATTCATGATTTCCTCATACAAAATTCTAAATGCGATGTGTGCCACGTGATCTTTGGCAATATTAAAATCGTTAGAAATAACAGATGGATTGAATCTCCTTCTACCAATATCAACTGCAATATATTGGCCATATTTAAAATCATTCTGCACTCCTTTAGGAAAAGTTAAACATACATAATTTGGCTGTCCTAATTGATATCTTAGTGCAAGTTCATTGAGTAGAATACTTGGTAGCATTCTAAACTTTTCCCCACTAAACCATTGTTTAACCGCAGGTATCATTTCTGACCAATGTAATTCTTTAGAGATACTACGAATATTATTTCCAAAAATTTGTTTCCTGGGTTGTCGTTTTAAATTTTCCGACGCGAGCCGCATAACACACGTAACTTCCTCCTTATATTTTTTTTGCAGTTCATTAAGTGCCATTTGTGATGCACCACGTATCAACAACACATGTAATATAGATTTTATTGGAAACCAATGTTTCGTAACACGGTCAGGAGATATTACCATATATGGAAAATACTAAATACAGTAATGATCGATGGTATGAAAAATTTTATAGTTGGCTTAGTCTAAAGACCTCCTAAATTTTGGGCAAATTTTAAAAGTATAGAAGTCATTTTCTGTCCTACCTTTTAAAAAAATAGCCTCATTAGTTGGTAAAATAGGTTTCTACTTTTAATGTAATGAAGAGATTTTCTCCAAAAAATTATTTATTGTAGAGTTCTATTCTTTTTTAAAACATGTACTTTACTATGCTCATGAGAAATTTGAGCGCTATGATCATTGCTAAATTTAGACTAGTTTTTGTTCATCATTCCTAAATTTAGCCTAATACTCGACCATCATATCTAAATTTGGCAGTAAGGAAAATAGTTTTTTAACCAAAATCACGTGTAACCCTTTTTTAAAAAATTTATTGCATTTTTGAACGAATCACAAAATTGCAATTTTTGAAATTTGAGCGCGTGGCGCAGCAATAGGAGGTCTTTAGACCGAGCCAACCATATATCTGTAAATAAATATATTATTGTATTACACAATGACTACTACACATTACACAGCATGGCTATCTCTAAAAATTTCTTGGTAAAAAGATTCACAATGCATTATCTTGGATGTGAATAACATTTTCATAGAGAAATAATCCTATATGTGCAAGTAGAAATACAAAATCATTAAATCACGATCACATTATCTATTTATATTGGTGATGCAAATGTTCTCTTTTCGATTTTGTTCCAGCACCTTTTTAAATCCTCTGATACCATTTCTTACAATAAAAATAATCACGCATATTTTATTACATAAAGATCATCAAGTCGATAAAATTTTGAAAGGGTGATCATCTCAAATTTGGCCAATGAAATCAAAGCTCCAAAATACAAAAAATATGTTTTATTGTTCATGACTCAAGCTTCAAAACTCATCGGCTAGTTTTTTCTTAACCAAAATTAGTATATAGAACCCTAACATTTTGAAAATTCCAAATCTTTACATTAAGAAATTGAGAATATTTTTTTACAACATATTAGATATATTTGATTTTTTACCAAATTGGGTCATGTAATTCAAAATGTTGTTGCATTCCTGAGCATAACCTCAAATTTAAAGATCTAATTACTATAGAAAAAAGAATTCCCGTTTTAAAACTGAATTGAATAAAAGTGATTTTTTTTAAAATCCAACATGTGGATCACATAATATTTCAATGGGTAATTCGCACTGTATCAAAAGTATAAGTATTAATATTAATATTTACTTGAATATTCGAATATTCGAAATATTTTTGACTATCCAAAATATTTGATTATTTGAAATATTTCTGGTTACTTGAATATTTAATATTAATCTAAATTTCAAAAGGTTTATTTGTCATTTTGTATGTGACGCGAAATATTTGAATAACCATAAATAGAGCCATTAACATTAAATATTGCAATTATTCGCACAATATATTATATCTCTTTTTACTATTATAAATTTTGTTTGTTAAATGAACTTTAATTTGAAATCTTTCTTGACGAATGGTAACTAGTAACTAATTATGATAATGATGATAATACTCCTCTGATTAACATTTTATTAAATAAAAAAGAAAAATTGAAATAATTAGAGGTATGCCAAATGATATGGCTATATTGAGGATCATGATGATTATAGAAACGACTAATAATTTCATCTCTCATTTATTACATGTCCATGGTATTCTTCGACCAAGAAAAGTCAAAATATTTTGTAATCAAATTAAATATTTATTATCTATATACAACATTAATATCTATTATATTTAGCTTTCGTAACATTTGTGTTTATTTTTAATACTTCAGTTATTCAGTACATTTATGGTATTTGAAACATCTACACTCTCACCTACAATAAATATCCGACCATCTGACGATCATTTTAATAATTGGGAAACTTATACCTCATGCAGTTCAAAATTTTATTAATCAAACCGGGACTGGTGCATTAAGTAAACATGTTTTTAAAGTCAATTTGAATATAAACTTAAAGTTTCGTCGAGTTTGCATTATTAATAAATTTAGGATGAAAATTTTAAATTAGGCAAAAAATTTCGTGGTTTTTATGAAAACTTTGAGCTTAGTAAAAAGGTTCAAAACTCTGTTGAATCATGAATTATGTCATTAAGTAAGTCCACTTAAAATACCTTGAATTATAAATGGTTAAAATTTGAGAAAATTTGATCAAGTATAGACAACGAAACGTAAAGCCTTAAAATTTGCATTTTGTCAACTTTATTAAGTGTTTTATATGATAAAATTACGGGGTGGTCGGATACTTTTTTAAACCCTTTTCATAAACTAATTTATGCTGACACCGTATTGTAAATATATGTAATCTGTTACGTTAAACACGTTTTATTAAGGTAATAATATACATTACAACAAAAAAATTTGACCTTTTATTACATGTAAAAATTCAATCGGAAATTTTCTTTTTTGGATGATTTGTTAAATATTTCCATTAATACCATACCGAACTGTTTGAAATTTTCGTAATATAGAGTTTTGATATCAAATATGAGTTTACTTAGTATAGCAGAAAAGGTTTTATTTAAGAAAACGTACTTTATTTAGCAAGTACTTTTTTCATTTGACGTTACACAGCACAAGTGGTCGGATATTTTTTGTAGGGGAGTGTATATCTGTCCCGCATGTGCCGAGATTAGCTTAGTATTAGGCTTGGGGGGAATAAAAAAAATAATGATAATCATTTAGATAAAAACCGTCACACCACTTTATATCAATTTCTTACAAAAACTGTATTAATTAGATTATTATTAAAGATATAAATAAATAAATATTTTTATAATTAAGTCGCTATTAATGAATTTAAACAAAGGTGACAAAATGATGAATATATGATGAATGATTTTAAAATGAATAGTTAATTAAAATTATATTATATTATGTATGAGAAATGAAAAAATGTCAAAATTGTTATTTCTATGAATCATCAGTGACAAAAATTTTTGACATGAATGTCTCATAAGAATTACATTTCGTGTTCTTATGTTTATTCATTATTATGCTAATATCTAATGCTCTTTCTGTAAAAGGATGTTGGTACATTGTTGTATTTGTACTATTTGTATGATGTAAACTATTACGAAATGCTTGAATAGCAGTCATTCGAACTAAAGGACCTAGAACATTTTGTGATATTACCATTCCATTTAGAAGTGGCCCAAAAGAAGGTATTTTGTGATCACGATTGATCTCCACGCTAAATAGTCCGTTAGACAGTGGGTTGACAACAATTTGCGCATTACCAAAATCTCCACCTATAGTTGATTTTCTATAATCTCTGTTGTGTTCATTAAAAATTATATGAACATGATCATTTCCTATGTGTCTTTTCTGCATGTATATATATGATTGATTGATTAAATAATAATAATAATAATAATGACAATAATAATAATAAAACTTGAAATATTACCTTTTTAAGCTGTTTAAAATCATTTGGGTCAGTTGGCATTTTTGTAACGTCATGAAAAATTAATTCTATTGTTGATGTGCAATAATAAATTGAGGTAGTTCCATTTGTTGAATTTCTTTCTAAGCCTCCAAGATATCCGGGATGTGTTGCAAGATCAATTTCCCAACCAAGACTAGATACAAAATCATCATAATTTAAGCTACCTTTCGTATTACGCAATATACTTTGCTCATCCTCTTGACCAGGCCCAACATACAAAAGTGCGACTTTTATGACTTCACGAGGATGTTTTTTATCCAACAGCCTCATATCTCTAAATAATCCAGGCGCTTTATTTAATAAAGAAATGGTGCCTTCTTTTAGAGCCTCCGGACTTAACCATCCAAAATGACTTAAAAACAAACGTGATTGTTGATATGGCTCCAATGGTTTTTCAGCATAATTAGGTAAAACTGGAAGAAAAGATTTAGATAATGAAAAATCGGCTCCAAGGCTAAGATATGAAGTAGATCTTTTGTATAATGGATTCCTAGATAGTCTTTTAATAATTTTGTTATTTTCGTACTGTTGGAAAATACTGTTTCTTAATGCTGTTACATTTTCATACCATAATCGACTTTTTCCCCAAAAAAAATTTTTTTTTATAATATTATTATTATCAGAAAAAAAAAATACGCAATTTTCAAAAAATCAAATGAAATATTTAATAAATAATTAAAAATCGCTTACGCTTGAGAATCAGTGGCGTTTCCATATAGTGATTCTTCATGGATATGCCTATTAAGTTGATCTTCTATTTTAATCATTTTTTTTCTTTCAGTTTCTGATGGTAATTTTTGTGACTCTCCATTAGTTTTTTCTATTGTTGGTAAATGTGGAACTTGTTCACCAACGCTTTTCCCAAAATTATATTTATTTGGGTTAATAAAAATTTATAAATAAAAAAATAGTAATCAAAAATAAAAAATCCTTACTATTGTAATAAACAGTCAAGCATATTAACATCATCTTCATTATTATAAACAGGTAAAGTATTCTTTTCTTTGAAAGAATTTATTGTTTTATTTATAAACTTTGGTTTATCTTTTGAATTATTATCACTAGTTATTTTTTATAAAAATTAAATAGGTAAGCTTTATGACAGTGATATTTTCGTTATAAATTTAATTGAATTAGTAACTTACATCATACTTTTTGATTCTAATGCATCAATCTTAATATTAGGTCTAAATTCTAAATGATCTGACATCCTAACGTATTTGAGGCAATTTGATTCGTGATCTGATTTATAGTCATTATTACAAAATGCCTTATAAAATAACTTGGAATCCCAGGAATATCTACCAGAAAAATCTCTTATAACAATACGTGATACTAAACAAGAAAATATAAAAAATATATAAGGATTACTAATAAAATTTTTAAAATGGCTAAATATTTTTCATTTTATCAGCTTATTACTAGAAACATCTTCTCCGGGTATTTCAATCAATGTAATTATGGTAGTATCATTAAATGAAAAATATTGGTAATGTTCCGTCACTTCCTCTTCTTTAGTATCGTTACCAACTGGTCCAATAAAAGTACTAAGGTTTGGGATCATTTATGTTAGGTCATTAAATTTAAATATAATCAAACTAGATTTATGTTCGAAGCAAAAATATCTACCTATTCATCATTGCTGGACCATGGATTGGAGCAAAATTACCAAAATGATGCGTCAAGTGCAATAAAACAAATTCTGCGGCATCCTATTTATGTATTAAATATTAATTTATTAACACCATATACATATAATGGGTTAACCAAAAAAAAAATTTTCCCAGAGAGAAATTAATCACCTTGACAAAATTAACATCTTCAACATTATTTTCAGCCCCGATTACATGAGAATTAACTTCATTATTGTAATTATTACTTGATGATGTCCTGCGTTCTGCTTTTTTAAACTTAATATGGGTGTCATTTTGAGGTTTTTTTATTTTATTTTTGTGTGAAGGCACAATCAATTTTTTAAAAAATTTTGGCGATTCTATCTATATAACAGATAAAAATTTTTCAATAATATTTAATAACTAAATAGAAAAGTGTGTGTGTATATATATATATTATCAATAAGTTCTTACTCCATATGTATCAAAAGCCATATCAATCACTTCAAGAACTAATGAACATAATTCAGTATCAGTAAATATATTAGGCGGTATGATCATTATCCATTCGAGGAGACAATAAAATAATTTCGCTATAATAAACCCTATTTGGTAAAAAGGGTTTGAAATTGATAACTTTGAAGTGAATCAGAGGAAAATTCAAATTTAATAATAATAATATATATATTATACAATCTATATTTTTACCTCTTCCATTCCTTTGTAACAATGATTTTTGTATATTTAAATGCTCATGCAACGCACCAATTAAATTACCAAAAAGATCATGAAGAACAATTAAATAGATCTAGATTTGAGTTATGTGTTAAAATATATGATCATAAGAAAATATTTAAGAAAATAAATTAATAAAAATAACTTGCCTCATTTTCCTCACGCCATAACGAAGAGTTTTGAGCAACGGCCATTAAACAATCTGCAGCGGCTGTTACTACTTGTAAATGATTGCAATATAACTGATCCAGTATTACATGAAAACATTCTTTAATGATATTCTTGTTGGGACTTAAATAAAGAGTGAACGCTTTAGTTGTACAAGTCTTAATCCGAAATATTAATAAACATAACAAAATAATATCTTTAAAGTGATACTAACAGTAATGGAGCAGTAAATTCATCAAGTAGGAAAGTGGTAATTCCATACAACAACATAATATGTGTATCATAACTTCGAATTGTTTCTTTGGAAAGTTCTGAAACCAATATTTCTTTCAAAATCATTCTAATCTATTATAACCATAGTAAATTTTCATAAATTAGAAAAATATGATAACGAATAAGTATTTATATTAATTTGACTTACTTCTGAAAAACTCATGTCGTCTAAATTGTCAAATTCAGGTCCATTCAAATCTTTTATATTAAATTGTACAAGTTTATTATAAGATATTATTGGTACATTTACAGATGAAACTTGACTTATTATGCATATAAGTGAACAAAGAATGGTAATGGCATTTTGTCTTGTGATTTCTGGTATATGTATGTCTTTTTTTGAAAGGATATCTCGTATTATCTCAATAAAACTATGATATAGAATATTAGCTCCAGGCAATTCTTGTGAGAAAAGTTTAGTGGAATTATTTATTATGGCAAGAATTACATTATAATCATTATCGGATAAACCTTTGATAATTGTTCGATAAAAATGCGGAAAATATTCCTCGTTAAATTTTTGATCTTTCCTACGAGACATCAGCTTGCATAAACCAGCATAAGCAAAAGCTCGTCCAGGAGCAAAAGCCCTGAATCAAAAATAAATTTAAAATTGAATTTTTTAAGATAATGATAATAACCACAAATTTCAACAACTTACATTGGCAAATCACATGCTTCAAAAAGCCATGGAATAAATTCATAAAAAAGCGGCGACGGTGCGTTTCCATATTGATTAGTTTTTATCTATAAGAAATAAATAATAGATGAATAAATAGAAATAATTCCTAAAAAAATTTCTAATAATATGACTCGTACTAATATAAACATATCCAAAATATCCACTAAACATTTTATAGCATCAGCATGGTTTTGAACATTCTATAATAAAAATAAGTTATAACCAAAATTCTTATATATAAACCAAGAAACAAGTATATATGTGAAAAATAAAATCCTTTTGTATGGTACCTGAATATGGTTTATATTACCAAGGGCACAAAGCATATTTTTCCAAATAAGCAAAGCATTTTCGGGATCCCATGACAATGATTCAAGATTTATAAATTCTGGAGACCTGAAGTTAGCCAATGATATTGATAATCTTTCATTGCTAAAATTAGATTGTGCAAAGACTGAGGAAGATGACGTGCGGTTTGACTAAAGATGGTCGATCATATAGTGAGATTAATTGGTTATTAAGCTAACTTGACACCATTCAATACAATTTTAATTTTTATACCTTAACTTCTGCTGCATCGTCACCAGCTAACTCACTACTAGCATCAAAGAAATCTTCTTCTTCTTCGGCATCGCCATCATCATCATCAGAAGCAGCACTACCAGAATGAATTGAAGAAGCGCTGCCACCGCCATTGCTCATAATATTCAATAGTGTTTGACTGCTGTGAATTTTTGGTTCCATTGAGCTCATATCTTGGTGTAAACTTAATGGTTTACGGATCTTGATATTGTCAACATTTGGCTTCGGACTTAGGTGTTCAGAACTGATAACATCTTCACGAGATGAATTACTACCAGATGATTTGTGACGGTGGTCAGTGCGCAATGAAAGATGTCGTGTACGATTCCTGGAAGAACGACGTCGATGAAAATGACGTTCAGGTGTTGAAAGTTCTGATAAGCGTTTATTTAATTCAACGATGTCAAGGTCAACTTGATGAAGATATTTTGATAATATTTTAGTTAATCGTAACATGATTTTCTAAATTGTTTAAAATAGAATAATTAGATGTTTTCCGAAAAAAAAAAGTTTTTTTTAAGTATTCAGTTTCTCTTTTCCTCCCAAGATATATAGATATATAGATATATTTATTACCGCCCACTGAGAAATGGTTTGGGACAAATTTGTACTATTATACATTTGATTTGTAAGGCTTCCCCAAAGTTTAGGTTGAGGTATTCTTGATCGAGCAAATGCATAAAATATTGTCTAAAATGTTTAAATCTAATAATAAATTTCATGACCATTTAAAAAATCAAGAAAAAAAATAATATATATATATATATATAGCATACTTCAATTAAATAATCTATAAGCTCGTCTGTTAGTGTTAATGTTGCTGATTGTGATGAATCAGATTTATTATTCTGATTCATTAATTTTGGCTGAATTTCCAGCAACGAAACAAGTAAAACTTCCCTGGTACAATTAAATATGAAATAAATAAATTACATGAAAACATGTTAGTTTAATTATGAATAATAACAGTTATATAATGTCTAAAAAATTTTTTTAAAAAAGCAATAAATAAATAACCATGTTTCAGTTTCTAGTTCGATAGGACCTTCCGCAATCATAGAACGAAATAAAGATAAAATATCACGATAAATCGAAACCTTTATAATTTAATTTGAATAAAAATGTTTATGGATAGATGGATAAATAAAATATCAACCATAAATAGTGATTTATTCAATTAATAAAATAAATAGTTACAATCAACCATAAATAGCGATTTATCTAATTAACAAATAATTACCTGTGCATCTATTTCGAGGTTTGTCATGCCTCCCTCAGCATTTCCACATGGTTGAGTTTGAAAACATAAAGTTAATAATTGAATGTATCTACGGATATAAATATTGGCATCAAAAAAATTTGTCTCTGGAACAAAAGATGATTCACTATGACTATCTGTTGAGATTATTGAACTATTTGAAGGAAGCGTTGATGTTGATTGTGGATGGGTTGTTGCAGACTTACGTAAAAAAGTCGGACGTTCTTCTTCCTAATATGATTTGTTATAATTATTTTAATAAGATTTATTATGGAAATTAGAAAGTTTGAAATTTCAATAAAATTTACAATTACATATTAGATGATATAATTTTATCTTTATTTTATAAACCAACCCCGCTTAATGTCCAAACACCAACTATATGAACGGCACCTCTTACAATATCCTTGTATAACGGACTCCCAGAAGGTAGCATAAGTGCTTGTTTAACTATTTCATGAGCAAACTCCCTGTTTTCTGGACCCAATACGATTGACTTGAGTATTGGAGTAGCAGGTGAAGGATATGATGTAATGGATTCAGAAAGACAGTAATTGTCAAGGCAATGGTGTATAAAAAATGTGATTAATGCTCGTAATATTGTTGGAGGACATTTCTGAAAGCCAAGATCTTGAATAAAAATTTGTTTCAAATAAAAAATAATATATAATTTGTCAATTTTCTTAGTGCGTGAGTAAATTTCTTTAGATTCCAATATATACCTTTATTTTCAGGTAACAATCCCATTTTTTTTGCACATTGTGGGAATAATTTAATTAAATATAACTTTTTTTCAAGCTCAAAATGAAACTTTGCTGCTGCTAATGCTGCATCGATACCCATTCCTACAGCTATGCCATTATCAGGCTCGATACTCTCAATAAGTGGAAAATCATAATTTTCTGGTGGCGGTGTTGAACCCGCAGCAACATGAGCAAGTCTAACTAAACCACTTAACTCAACTTGTAACAAATGTATGGAATCAGTGAAAGTTGGTGGGTATGGGTTTGGTAACAACGCGACGCGATCATCAGCTATCGAAAATGGATAAGAAATGAATAATTGTGATGATCAACAACAGTCAATATTTTGTATTTGTATTATTGAATTTATGAACTTACATTTTATTAGGCTTTGATCAAGTATTAAAGATCTATTTTTTTTTTTCAAAACATCTTGTCTATAATCATTATTATGTTCACTACTATTTAAATTTCGAATTTGATCATATAAAAATAAATCTAATGATATTGCATTAGAGTAAAGATGTAAAAATTCAGGTATTTCATGTGTCAAATCATTCATCCAAAGTAATAGTAGTTGAAATCCTTGTATTCTAAGTCGTGGGTGATTTCCATGATCAAGTATGTGAGAAAGCATTTCAGCTATGTTGATTATGATTGTTGTTGTTATTAAAATTCAAAATCAAGTTAATAATCAAAGTTTTTAAAAAATGTCTATATATATATATAATATACCTATTTCTTTTCGTTTCCAACCAGTTTTTATGATATCGGGTAAAAATAAAAAAATTTTTCTTAAAAGTACAAGAGTTTTATTTATATTAATATATTCTTTTGAAGAAAACGAAACAGGACGATCAGGTCTTCCTACAATTATAAAAATAAACAAAATTCAAGTAAGCTTTAAAATATTAGTTAAATAGTATATACATTAATCAATTTGTTGATTTGATTTGATTTATTATTGATTATTGATTGATTGACTACTGATTGATTGATTGATTATTGATGATTAATTCTCACGTTTTATTTTTTCAATCTGGCTCCTATATAAATTGAGAACTACATCAAAAACATCTTCAGCATGTTCTTGAAAGAATTGAGCTTGATCTAAATCATTTGTAACATCTTTATTAAAAAAAAAAAAGAATATATTTAATAAATATAAATAACAACAATTAATTATGAAAACAACCTTTATTAAATATAATATAGCAGTAGCAGTAATAATAATCCAGAAGGTAAAATCAATCTTTAAATAATTAATTATAAACCATCTAACATAAATCACAGCCCACCTTGAAATTAACTCACCAATAAAATTCCATAATGAAGTGGCTCTTGTCTTTGGTTTTTGTTTCTGATCAAAAAACAGCTTTGCTTTTTTTAATAATTTTTCCATTTTCTCATCTTTGTTAGTGCTTTTATTGACTCTGATAATGTTAAATGAAAACAGTTATGTTATAATTAACGGATTCTGAATTAGGAATTCTAATGTTGGAAGTAAGCAGTGGTTTCACCATACTTTTTCACAAACTTAATGTTACACTAAAATTTCAAATTTTCCTGATATCACGTGGCAATTTATTTTAAACAATTAATTTTATTTTTTAAAAACATACGAGGAAATTATTATATAAATTTATATAAATAAATTATTTGATTTTCTTAATTCTCTTAATTCATTCTACTAATTAATGCATTGATTTTATCTTCACGATCACCAAAATCTCCTCCTTCAACATAATGTCTAAACTTTCTATTAGCCCAACCACCGTTAGGATTTGACAATTTGAAAGGCCAAAGAAAATTATTTGCTTGTTTGAACTGGAAAAAAAATGAATATAAATAAATAAAATCTAATAACTTGGTAAATTATAATTAACTTATATTATACTTACATTTGGTCCGATAGTGAAAATTTCATGAATTAAATCTTCAACGCAAGTGATACCAAATTTGCCCAAACTCTGTTGGATAATTGAATTATCTGTTATGGGAATACGCTGTCTATCTACTTTTGCATGACCACGTTTATAAATAAGTTCACGCACAGATCTATTTTATGAATGAATAAATATATAAATGTAGTGTAAAGGGATCATCGTAAACATTAAATAATTATATATATATTTTTTTAAAACTAACTTTAGATTAGGTTCACCATAAGCAACATATGGATTTACCAATTGAAGCATTTCTTTGGTTGCCTTTGTCAATCGAAGAAATATTCCATTATTAATTTGAAGAAGACGTAACAATTGAAGAATTTTACGTGGTTTGGGAGGAATATGATTTATTCTAAAATTGATTTTTAATCAATTAACAGCTCAAAATGCAGAGTTTGCTTTGATTCATTGATCAACCAATCAGTCATTTATTCCTCTTACCCTTTAATACGAATAACAAACGCCAATTTTGGTTGAGCAGGAACGTAAAAATCACCACATGCTTTGGCCTGACGACGTAAACGGACTACATCTCGTTCCGCAGCATGGTACTCTCTAAAATATTGTTCTGCACGTTTAAGAATTGTACGACGAGCTGTCTTTGCAACCTAACAAACATCAATTGTAATTAAAAGAAAGAGAAGATTTATTTGTGTAAAAATAAAAAAATAAATTCTTTAAAAATCCATTTTATAAATAGGCAAAAAAATTGACATATTGTCAGTCCCGAAAGATGGTATTAAATAGTATCAGCATTGCCAAAGCTAGATTAACTTTTAATGGGAATTCCCAAATCATCATTATAAATGTCAATTTAAAAAAAACAATAATCATCATCTTATCATTGATTTTTTCTCGATCTTTCTTACCCATGATAAATATGAATCAAATTATAAAAATCAATTATATGAAAGTCTTTTTTATCTTTACCTTGCGTTTTTTTTTAAGCTCCACGACAGACTTGGCTGCAAGCTTTTCCTGAGCCTTTTTCTTTTTCAAAAGAGTTTCAGGAACAAGAATTTGTTCAACTGTTGGCACGGTTCTAAAATTATTAAATAAAAAAATTACTTCTTATTATTTTATTATTTTAGATGAAAAATGATTTATTTATTTTATCTCTAATGTAAAAAACCTACAATCCGCCAGTCATTGTCTAAAAAAATTTTTTTTTCAAGAGAGATTCAGATAAAAAAATTTTTTTTAAGGGTAGGGTAAATCACGTGGTAAAATTGATAGCAGATCTTGGTTTAATAATGGGTCCTTTTTTAGAAGTCCCAAAATAAACAAAAATAATATTTTCAATATATATATAGAAGATTTCTTGAACCAAAAAATGACAGATAATCCTCCAAACTCTCAAAATCTTTATGAAAGCAATACAAATCACAATAATGACAACAACAACATTAATAATAACAATAATGAAATTGAAGTAAATATATGATAAATTTTTTTCAAAGTTTTCAAAAGTTTTTTCGTCAATTTTTAAAGTGTGGTTTCAATAATAATAATAGGATAACGATATCATGGTTATAGATCGTGAGGAGTTCTCTAGAATTGTTTCAGGTTAAATATACAATAAAGGTTTTTTTGTTTAAATTATAAGTATATATGGATGTATGAATGCCCTAATTATCTGATTAAATTTAATAATCTCGGGCTTTTTTATTTGTTATAGAAAAAAGAAGAAAATCAACTAACAACGGGTTACCAAATTTTCTTCAAAAAAATCAAGTAAATAATAATTTATCAGATTTAAATCAGGAAAATCAATCTAGGACGATTAATATTAATATTAATAATAGTAACAATGATATAGATTCAAGTAATAATAATAATAATAATAATAATAATAATGTTAGGTTAAATAATAAAAGACCTTTACCATTGAATGAGTCTTCATCACCATCAAAAAGTATTGTTTCTCGATGGTCTTATCCTCAAAAAAATATAAACAAAAAAATTGCCCCCGCCAATGATAAATCTGTCAAACAAAATTATCACAGATTAATACATAACAATAAAGCTAGCAATTCAATGACACAACAATTGACATCTCTAATTCCACCAACTGTTCCAACTCAAATAGCACCTTCAACACCATCTTCAATACCAACCACAACAAAGCCAAAATCTATACCATATTCTCCAATGGCCTTAACGGATCAAATGCCAACGGTACTGATAGTAAGATCAGAATCTAATCCAATTATACCATCAAACTCAATAATACCAACATCAAATGTGCCTGCAGAATCAATGATAACACTATCGACATCAAAATCAACTCCACCAATAGTAAGAAGAGGATCGACACCAAAAGCAACCCTACCATCAACAACTTCAACATCAAATGCAAGGACAAATTATGTCAATAATGATTCAAAAAATAACTTAGATCAAAAAGATGTTAATGATAACAATAACAGCAATACTAATACTAATACTAATACTAATACAATAAGAGAAAGAATAGAAGCAGCAAAAAATAGTCATCATGATATGAATAAACCACAAGGGATAAAAAGAGCCAACTTGGTTTGTATATTTATTGTATTAATCTTGATAAATAGTAGAGTTTGTAATGGGGGGTTTTTTTTTGAATACATGATTTATGATTTATTGTCAATTATTTATTATTTTTATTTTTATTTTTAGAACAATATTATAACTCTTGAAGAGGAAAGTAATAAAAAATTTAAAAAGAATAATAATAAAAAATCTTATCCGGTATTTAAAAAAAAATTTTTAATTGATAATGATGATAATAATAATAATAATAATAATTGATTTTATAAATAAAATAATTTAAACAGTTGTATAATAGTTATTAAAATTTTGATTTATTTCGTTTATATTTAGGAATTTTACAAGGAACTCTATAATAAAAATAATTTGAAACCAAATATTTTTGCTAGATATAACATGGTTTATTCGCAAAGTACTCAATGGAGTAAAAAACATTTTTCGTTTACTACAGTTGAATGGGGAAATGCTACTAGGTTCAGAAATAATGAAGAAGCAAAAAAATTTAAATTATATTGTGGTTTGTGCATATTTAATTATAATAATAGTAACGACAACAATAAAACATGAACATACATGTTAATAATCTTTGGTTTTTTATCTAGTTTCTAATGAAAAAACAAATAATGATTTAAAATTATCATTCTTAAATCAACTGGAATGCAAAATGTATCCACAAAGTTATTACGCTAATATTTCAAGTCTTAAACCTATTCAATCTCAAAAACAGAATAAAAATATTCAAGTAAATTTTATAAATATATATAAAATTTAATTTCAAATTAAATTGATTAATTTCTTTGTTTTTTAAACTTATATTTTTTAATATACAAAGTACATTAACCGATTTATTACTCGTGAGAAACCTTCGATTCATCAAGCAAAGTAAATAACTTTATTTATTTTATATATGTGTGTCTATCTTTTTTGATTGATTGATTGATTAATTAATTAATTAATTTTTAACATATATATTTATTAACACACTGATATTTATCTTTAGACATATAGAGAATAATCAAATTATTGCGAATACCGATAAATACATTTATTTAGTGGATATGAAAGATCCTAAAGATCCTCAATCGTACGTATACATATTCGCTCACGCACATTATAAATTATTTAATCAATCAAAAAAAAAAATCTTATTCATAATTATGTTTGATAGTTATGAAATTTTGAATAAATTTGGTGTTGATGAGGCTTCAGATAATTATAAGTTTGGACCGGCTTTTTGTTTACTTAGGAATAAAAAATTGGTGATTAATAATAGTGAGTAAATAATATAATAATATTAAAATAATTTGAGGGTATATAAATATTTATATATACATTTACCCATATTTTTAGCTGACAATGGTTATTTAGCACTTTGGGAAATTTCAGATAATCAAAAAAATTCGGGAGGTAATTCTAAATGTCAAAATTTCTTTTATTTGTTATTTATTTTATTTTTATTTTAAATAATAATAATAAATTTTTTTTCTAATAGTTCAAAAACCAAAAATTATCATGAATATTTTCAATGAAAACGAATATACGACAAATAAGATTACTTCATGTGATAGTAGAGATGATGGAAGTAGTGTTATATGTAGCACATCTGACAAAGGTCACTTGATAATTTGTGATTATAAAAGTAAAAGATCAATAATAGATAAGGTACAATTATCAAAAATTAAAGTTTAATATATATTCATTTTATTAATAATTAATTTTATCGCATTTATAAGATTAACAATGCACATATTGGTTCAGTCACAAGTTGTCATTATGATCCATATGTGGAAAATTTTCTATTGACATCAGGCGCGGATGGTGCTATTAAATGGTGGGATACACGTAAATTGAAAGGAATTATTAATAATTTAGTTGAGTATTCTTAAAAAAATGTTTGTCATTTTTAAATTGACGAATTAATATATATATAATGCCTGTATTTATATTTATATTGTTTATTTGGTTATTTTATTTATAAAAAAAGCCATCTCCGTTACATACTTTTAAAAAACATATTGATACAGTGAATAAAGTAAGCTGGTCGCCTCATATCAAATCATTATTTGCAAGTTGTTCAGATGATAAATCCGTCATCATATGGAATTCAGTAGTAGGTATTTTTTATTTAATCCTCTTTCAGCTTCAAAAATTGGTATTATTATTAATCTCAATGTCGATTTATTTAGAATATTAAAGAAGATAATGGAATACATTTTACACATAATTTACATCGGTAAATTAACAAGTTCTTTTTTAAAATAGTAAATTTCATTTTGAATAAAAATATTAATTATTTATTATTAGGTCTAAAGTTGTTGATTTTGCATGGCATCCCAATCCGGATTATGATCGGACGATTGCATCAATATCTTCTGGTTCAGAAACGACTTCAGGATTATTACAAGGTAAACATTCAATATACACATGATTTGTTTTAATTAATAATTATGATTATAATAATATACTATTACTATTAGTGTGGAGCCCAGATTATTCCATTATACCAGCTAATTCAGATAAAATGTATCGATGAGATTGAATTTGTAAGATGATTGAAAATAATGTTAACAAGTTCGAAAAAAAAATTTATATAATTATATAATAACCAGAAAAGGAATAAATACAAACCGAGTAGAAGAATGTATCTGAACCTTGTTTTGGGTTATCATACAAAATATATAAAAAATATAACAAGTTTATATTATTTTATTTGATCAAATCCAAATTCTGATAATTTATTTTTTGTCTTTTTATTTCTATTTCGATTGTATATTAATACATTTGCCAAGTTTACATTTCTTTGTGCTTGAACATTATGAGCATGGAATTATTTTCCTTTAAGGACAATTCACATCTTCCAACAACAAACCCCCAATTTGACACGATATTTACATCTAGCTCTATTTTGCTTATAACCATTAATTTTTACCCAATTTAATAAAATCTATTAATTTCATTGCATGATTTGAAAAAAAATGCGCATGCACATCTCTAAATGAATAGATAAACGGAATTCATGCATTTCAGGAAATAATAAAAGAGAAAAATAATAATCATGTTTTCAAGAGCAAAAGTATATAAATTTTTTATTATAAAGATTTTTCACATCACTGAAATTTTTTACAAATCCACTATATAAAAATTTAAATGAGATCGGGACACTCTCGAATTTTATCTCATGCAAATATGTTTTGTAGATGTCCTTTCTAATTCGCCTTCCAAAAAGATTTTCAACTCTTGAAACTTTTGAAAGAAAATTTCATCAATTTCATTGGACCTGTCTGAAGTTATTTTTCGTTTTCCCCTCTCTGAAATGTCAACTTTGTCTGTTTTAATTGGCTTCTCATCCACTTTAAGATATTAGCAAGATATATCAAGTCATTATTTCTGATAAAGCAATAGCCCATTCTATTCACGATTACATCGTAATATTTACTTGAATATACAGGAGTGCCAGCGAACTCGAATAAAATTTGAGAACCTTGAATTGCCAATGCAAAATCTATCAACATTTGTTATCAGAATGAGTTACCATAGCTATGTTCTCCGGGCGGATATCCCTATGATAGATATCTATATGAAGATTAGAAAAAAATTATACGTCAGTTTCAGAGCTGTACG